TTTTTATACATATCCCCGGTGGGTGTGGGTGGGTAGACGTCCAATTTTCGGTGTGTACGTACGTTTGTGTGTTTGCGTACGAGAGTAGGGGCTAGGAGCTGTGTGTCATTTACTCATTGGTAGTCGTTGGTTCGAGAAAGATGGAAACAGTCGCCTTCCGCCTTCCCTTTTCAAACCGTTGACTCCGGCCATCAACCGAAGGAAAACTCCGATATAGCGCAAGCGTTTCACGTCTTCGGATCGCGCTCTCCCTCTCGCTGAAAATTGACCAACCCGCTTTTCCTTTCGTTTGCCCATAAAATATTATCCCTTGCCACGCTCACGAAGAATCGTCGAGAACGAGAAACTCTTTCTCTCTCTCTCTCTCTCGTTTTTTTCACCCCTCTTTATCTTCCCTCTCCAGCGCCACGTTGTTGAGAGTGTGGTAGATGAAAAAAGGGGAGAAAAAAAAAAAAAAGAGAAGAAAGAAAAAAATTGGAAACTGGAAAAGAAACCGGATACGGTTGTGTTTGACTTACAGTTTTTGTTCGATAAAGTAACAAAAGTGCGGGAAACGCGGGAGCAATTTGTCACGTTTAATTTGTCGGGACACCCTTTTGCACCGTGTTGAAAAACTCGTAGGAGCGGCACCTTTTAAAATACGGAACGATGAAATTGATCGATTTGACGGACACTGACGTTTCAGTAGATTGCATTATACAAGTTCGTGTCGTGCAAAGGAACGGTAAAAATTTAATGGGAACGTAAAACGGGACAGTTTTATATAACGAAATGTGTGAATAAGAAACGAAAGGAAACGAAAAATCATAAGAAGCATAAACTTAAAGAAATTAAAGATACTCTTTATTTGTGCATACCGATCATGTGTGTATAAATTATAATAAATAAATAAAAGGAAATTAATGTACAAAATAATACAAAATGATACAAATAAAGAAATAACAAAGGAAAAAACTTTCTTATTATTCGTAGTCTTATATAAAAATATACGATCGATCTTGTATATTAATAAACCATTCGAGGTTAATCATATCATGTGTGTATATGTATATATCATATATTCTATATATATATATATATATAATTCTTCGACTGCGTCATATGACTAGAACTAGTTTTTGCTCAATTTTTGTAAATTCTGTCGAAAATGACTAGATGGGCTAAAAATAATTTCCCTAGATGCGCGGAACATTTTACAATGAAATGACACGCTTATCAAACACGTACTCTCATATATAATAATATAATACAGATCATGTATGTATATATATATATATATATTTATATTTATATTTATATCATCTTTTTTCATCTTTAAATACGAAACGTGCTTAGCCTATGACGTAATTAATTTTTGTGTATATATAATTAATAATATATATATATGTATACCGTATTATATATTATATATTATATATACATATGTTAAATATATACTTTTTTTTTTTCCATGTTCTATCATTTTGATTTAAACGGGTAAAATTTGATTTTGCGCTCAATTACGTTAGTCAAGGCAATACTCGTTTCGGGAAACACACCGCTTGCAGTGAAATTAGATGATCCCCGATGATTTTGCTAGGATCGTCATGATTTTCGTTTCGTGCAACAACGTCTCGACAACGATCCGCGAATGCCCGTGACGAGGAACTATTGAAAACGAAAATCGAGGAGGGAAGCCCGCTTTGCGCGGGGATCACGGATAATCTATTTTATCTATCGCGCTTGGAGTCATTGGTACGCGGGGCGAAAAAATAAATTGCGAAAAACCATGACGCCCCCGGCGTTGCTCGATTTATTATCGACTGTGTGCGAGTCGTTACAATAATTAAAATCTACGACCCTCGTCGCCGCGCACGGGCCATTAAGCGCACAATGCGCATACTTGCATGGGATGCAATTAAGAGGGTAGCGATTTACATGGACGCACGCGTTTTGCATGTCACCGTTGTTCGTCCGTGGGGCGAGAAAAATGGACGGGAGAGGAAGGACGGGGACACGCGCTCTCCACCCCCTGCCCCCTCGCCTCCTTTCTCTCGGACTTTTTCGGGAAAATCCCGGCCAAGGTCGCGACCTTTTTCCTCTCACCGACGAGGGGACCAGATGTGGGACCGTTTGCCCAGACCCAAACCCGTCGCCGTCTCGACAATGCCCGCTAAAAATTCCCTTCTCCCCGACCTCTCCGTCTCGTTTCGATTCCCTCTCTCTCTCTCTCTCTCTCT